TTCCTGGCATCTGTGACTCATTTTCAGGGCCAGTCCAGACAATTAACCTCACTGTGGCTGGCTTTCCTCACTAAAAAATAGCACTGACACCAATCCACCTCCGAGGTATATTTTAGGGTTGATTGACCTATTTAGAAGGCAAGTAACGTACTTCATAAAATGGGACAATGTAAATAGCATGGGAAACAGTAAATACCCACTGGAAATAGCAGATGTTTTTCCCTTCCATAGGTTTCACCTGTACTCTCAATGTGCATACAAATCAGTGTTTCTCTGTGTCACGGCATTGTAGACCAGCCCCAAAACTGGTTGGAGAATTTGCTATAGAATCCTAAAACAGGGTCGGCATAGCTGCAATGCAGCAAGTCAATCAACAACACCACAGTGGTGGAACAAAGAAGGTGTTTACTGCAAAGTATAGAGCAAGGAGCCAGGCAACTATCACTTGTCCCCCGGACCCCCTGAGGGGCTAATGGCAGTGAATCTTACAGTGTAAGATGGTGATGAGCAGCAAATGATGAACTTGTATGTAGGCCTGTGGAGTTTCCACAGAGCAGGTGGACTTCCTTTGATTATTGCTATGTTTTATCAGGGTCTAGGTGTTACTACAAATCTCTCAGGTTAGACACAAACATTTAGATTAACTCTACTAAAATATGGGGGGCAATTCAAGTCATTATGACTCAGCCTTTGCTCTGTTTTTATCCTTGTTAGTTCTCCCAAAGGAACTGCAAAACGGGAAGGAAATAGAATTCTGACTTGATAAAGTCTACATGGGAGACCTTTGTGTAACAGCTCTATTTCAGTGGCACCCTCCCCCCAACCGTACTATGTAGATAAGCAGCCAAAGAAAGTGCTTAGAATGGGGCCATTTGGACATTTTTAAACAGCATCTCCACATGCAAAGCCTGTCTCAAACTGAATTGTTTTGTTTCTATAACGAGCCTTTCAAACAAAAGGGACAAATCCAATTGTGTTCCTGAGGGCATAGGTATGATCTGCCTTTTCATTTGGAATGTTTGAACTTGGAGAAAGGTTGCAAAAAAATGGACAGTAAACTCCTCCACACCTTCATCTGCATTGTGTAGTTCTTTTTTTCTTTCAATCACATTTTCTATAATGAGCAACCATTCTCTAAATAGAGAACAATCCCAGTAAGAGTAAACAGTAGCGCTGATAGAATGTGCAAGTAAGCTGCAGGCGTTGCAAACGTTCTACCATAAATATACTACTGTGCATATCCCAACAACAGAATCCCTCTTGATTATAACTTAGTCATAGCTATCAAATGAAAAGAATTTAGCAACACTGCCACACTGTTATCTAAATACATGGGATAATATGCATGGGAGGGATTTTCAAAGAGTTTGTGAAAATGCATATGATGAAAAAAATCAGATATTTTCACAGTATAAAAGCATCATGTAACCACCTTGTAGGCACACAGATTTTAAATATTTTTTCACACTACAAAAGCATCACCCACCATTTTCAGAAACTGAATTCCTGGCAGAGCTGGGCAGTCAGCGTGAGCATCTCCACAGAATGTATGCAGAGATGGAAGTGCCGAAATCAAATTTTCAGTTTCCTTTCCCAAAAGTATAATTTGTTCAACAAATGTTTTAATGAGGCATTACAGTAATTGTAATGAAATGTAGATGATTGATGCATTACTACAACGCACAAATGCGACGGAAGATTTTTTTTTCTTTAAATTTTGTCTCTTGTGAACTGAAAATGCCCTTTGCCTTCGAAATGCTACCTTCTCTGCTAATGAAGACAGGAAGGCTCTTCTTAAGCAAACAATTGCTTTGGAAACAGAAAAGTAAACTTCCCTGGCTCAGTGCTCTTCCCACAAACTTGGTTTGTAATCTTTAAATCAGATGATCTTCCCCTTCCCAAGGGCTCGCGTGTGTGTGTGTGTGTGTGTGTGTGTGTGTGTGTGTGTGTGTGTGTGTGCTGACAGCTGACACACGATGAAACTAGGAGTTTCATGGCGAGCTTCCAGCAAAGACACATTTCCTCCCATTGGCTCTGCTGTAGTAAGTTGTTCTCCTTAACTGCCTCACTGTTTACTTCAGAAGCAACTGTGAAAGTAAATGGTGGCTTTCATTCGGGAAGAGTGACATATTTGAAAATTATTTCATATCCCAATTAAAGAGCTGACAGTTCCTATTGACGCAAAGTTTTCTATCTGTGCTTAATCATGCCTTTATTTATATAGTCAGGCAATCTAATTTGTTGATTCAAAATCCACAGATCAGGAGGGGCCATTGATTTGAGAGAAGTTTACATTTGAGATCCAAATGCATATTTGACTCTATCCTAGATCTGCCAATACTAGCTACATATTCTTGAGCAAATTATTTCAGCCTCCAGGAGCCTCCATGAAACTAACTGGAAATTGCCCTTGCTACTCAGGAGAGTGGGTGAGCCGATACATCTTGCTTTAAGCTATAAAATCTTTGAGGCCAGACGTGTTCCTCCTGTACCCGCAGGGCTTAGCATGAGGCTTGGAATCTCAGGAACAACCAAGAAAGCTTTCCCCATAAAAACAGATAAATGAAATGAAAAAGCATATGTCATCTTTAAATGCCATGACCGCCTGTGTAAGTCATCATGCAGCAAGATGCACTTAAAAATTGACATTCCATTCAGCAAGGAACAAAAGATCAGATATTGCAGCATCGGAAATGCACTTTTAAAATGTTTCCTCCCATTTTATTTAAAGGCCACATGGAGTTCTCCCTTGTGGTATGCTTAAGAAAAATATAGGGTGTGTGTGTGTGTGTGTGTGTGTGTGTGTGTGTAATATGTGATTGTGAAGCAGAAGGGTGAAGAAGGCAAGAGAGACTCAGGCAGCCTAGGAAGAAGGCTGTACTTTGTCCCCCTCTCGTCAAGTAATCCTAAGCTGTGTCCCAGCAACTGCACGTAACTTGTGTTTGTAAGGCAGGATGATGAAGGGAAGCACTGGGCACCGGATTCACAAATGATAATTCTAATCTGTGGCTCCTAGAGACTCTCTTTGTGGCATGGTCACTTAATTGCTCTGTGCCCTTGTTCTTCCATCTGAAAAAAAATAAAATTAGCAATGCTCGCAATCGTACAAGTAATGTGAGGGATATCACAGGGTCAAAGGGCTCATTCTGTGTATATTTTCAGTGCTTAATGCTTCAGCAAAACTGCCTCTGGAAGAAAGCAAGTAACTCACTGACACGTGAGTGCTTGGAAGCCCCAACCACACCAAATGATTGGGAAAGGAGTTAGAACTGAAGGCAGCTATTCTAAAAAGTCCAGGTTTTGGTTAAAGAACAAAAATCAGAAAGGAACGTAGGTGTATTTAGCTTGGTGATTCAGATGTGTTTACGATTCCCTCGCTCTGCATTGAAGGGCCTGCCATGGATCCCTTGACGTGAAATTTTCCTAATTCAGTTCCTTGCAGGCAGCAGTAGGGCTCAAGTCATTGCGTTCTGATCAGCCAAGTGGAAGACCAACATTGTATTGAGACTCTTGGCCTTGGCTCCAGCCCAGACCCAGACATGTTTAGGGAGTGAGCCAGTTGATGGGAACTCTTTGTATCTGTCTTGTCCATTTTATTTTCTTTTATTTTTTCTGCTTTCCAATTAACTTACATTTCAGAAGGTTAAGGTTAAATCTTGATATGATTCTGAAGCAATGTTCTCATGCTCTTCCCTCTGGACACACATACCCAAACAAAGAAACATTGTTACTAATTTGCAGTTTCTCCAAAGCAAACCTTATGATTTCTAAGATTGCTTTAGATCAGTGAAGAATAAGTAAGTGCACAGAGTCCAGAGGTTGCTAGAAGCAAAGCTCTTCCTTGTATAGTACATACCATAGTTTTTCTTTGAATACTCATAAAACAAAATATGCCATACTGATGACTTAAAACTAATAAATGTCAAAGACACAAAATTGCATGCTAAAAATATATATGTCAATTTTCCAACAAGATGGAAGTCATTGACTGATGTAAAGAGAGCCAGTTGTTGTTGGAGAAAATATGATGCAGGTTTTCTGTAGAGATTCACTTTACCCAGTTATTATTTATTTACATATTTATTAGATAATGCCACGTATCAGCAAACCCAATTATGCAATAGTCAGCATTTGACACACTGCTAGTCAACTGTATGCATTTGGCTACAATTACCAATGGAAAATGTTTAGAGTTCTATTCCTCCTTTTAGTATAATCTCTAAAAATTATAAGGTTTTTTGTTTGTTTTGTTTTATCCAAGTAAGGACTTTCGACATTTAAACATATTCAGCATTTAAACATATTCACCAGAGAATTTAATGAACCATTTCACATTGTTGATAGTGCAGGAACTGAAATATTGCATACAGGAATCTATCTAGTTTGCTATGAAATAACATTGATGACACAAGCAGCCTATGAAAAACAAAGGAATTAAAATGTAAATTTATTTTGGTGCCAAAAGTGTTTGAAATCCAAGTGTAGTTTTCTTTAGCATTTGTGTCTTTATGAACTGTCTCAAGACCCCCTCATAGCCATGAATTTTGAAATTTGAGGACAAAAAACAAACTCACTGCTTAATTCTACTCCCCGCAAACTGGTTAAAATAGGCTCACAGTACTAAGATCTCCCAGTGTTCCGCGCAGGGTGGTGAGGTGGGTAAATGATCAGGCATTGTCTATTTCACTGAGCACATTGAAGACTTCAAAAAACTTCTCCTTAGCAGAACTTTTACAGTTGTATACTTGATTTGTCTGAGATGTTTATTATAACATTCCAAACTTAAAATGCACTTGGAGAATTGGGCTTTCAAACCACATATGCCCCCACAGGGGAAATATTAGTATAATCTGCCATATAAAGAGGAATGACAAATGGGAAGTCAACAGAATAACCTTTAGTATGGTAGCCACTTGATTCACTCGGGGAATGATGTGAATTTGACTGTAAATGGCAATAAACATCACAGATCAGTCTGATGATTGAATGTCATTTTCTAGGTCTAATTCGCCTGCAAGAGCTCATCAAAGCTCCCTCAAGATATAACATTAAAATCAAAATCCGCCAGCTGCCCTCTGGGAATAAAGACGCGAAGCCTTTACTCAAGGAGATGAAAAAGGGCAAGGAGTTCTATGTGATATTTGATTGTTCGCATGAAACAGCTGCTGAAATCCTTAAACAGGTAAGAGGGCAGAAGTGGGGGGACATTCTATTTTCTGTTAGACATGCCATCTGGTTTTCAGTTAACACAGAATGATAAAATTGCTAGCAGTCTCTTATGAATTCAAGACTGTAATTTTCAGAGATGTACTTACAAAATGAAAAGTTTGGGTGGCAACCTCGGAGCATCCGGTGGGTGTTTGGTTATCAGCATGTCTGCACTTGTACTCTGTGGTATGTGGACCCTGATAGCAGAAGACAAAAGGGGAAGGTGGCATTTTAAGGTGATTGAAACACGCATTTTCTCTGTGTGCTCTGGGAAAAACTGGCTGATCCAGGTACCACCTAAATAATGCCAGCCTTGCTCTTAATACAACTTCCTCTTAGTGAGACCTCGTTTGTCAAGTATGCAGGATTCCAGGAAAGAAAAAGAGGAGGCCACGGACAGTCATGGAAAATATACGTATCTCTTCTAATTTGTTACAAAGAGAAATTCATCTGCACAGGTAGTGTGGGTGGAAACACTTGGTAGATTCTGTGTAAGTAAAAGAGATTAGTGATATATGTAATAGCAACAGTAAATCAGGAATTTCCAAGAGCTTTGACCTATACTCAAGAAAGATGGATGGAAACACTTGGTAAATTCTGTGTAAGTGAAAGACATTAGTGATGCATATAATAACAATAAATCAAGAGTTTTTAAAGATTTATTTTATATTTATTGCAAAATCAGATATACAGAGATGAAAGACAGAGAGGGAGATCTTACATCTGATGATTCACTCCCCAAGTGACCACAATGGCCAGTGCTGCACTGATCCAAAGCCAGGAACCAGGAGCTTCTTCTGGGTCTCCCATAAGGGTACAGGGTTTCAAGGCTTTGGGCCATCCTCGACTGCTTTCCCAGGCCACAAGCAGGGAGCTGGATGGGAAGCTGCTTTGCTGGGATTAGAACCTGTGCCTACATGGAATCCCAATGCGATCAAATTGAGGACTTTAGCCTCGATTTGCTTGGCCCATTAATAAATTAAGAATTTTTGAGCATTTTGTCCTATACACAAGAAAGACAGTTGCCCTGACCCCGGACTGATTGTGTTTCCCATTGCTTGTGACTGGAGGCATTTTGGGTTATTATATTTGGCAAGGGGGTGCTTTACTGGCCACAAGAAGGAACTGGCTGGAAACACTATTGAACAAATCTTAGATATCAAAACAATGTTGAAGATTAAACTTAAAAAAAATCAGCTATATCAGAATATCTGTGTTCAGTTTGCAGCCCCATCTCCTGAATGCAGGGCCTAACTGCACTGAGGTAGAGTTCTTTCTGCCACCGACCTGAGGAAGAATTGAGTCCCTGGCTCCTAGCTTAGTTCTCCAGGCACTACAAGCATTTGAGAAGGGAACCAATCTTTCTCTTTCTCCCTGCCTCTACTTCTCTCCATTCTCTTTTTTGTTTCAAAAACTTATTTGTCTTCAAATAAGCATTTTTTAAATAGTCCAGAGTTTTCTTAAAATTTGCAATACTTGGGCCTGGAGCAATTGCCTAGTAGCTAATGTCCTTGCCTTGGATTTGCCAGTACCTATATGAGCACCAGTTCCAGCTGCTTCACTTTGCGTCCTCCTAGCTCCCTGCTTGTGGCCTGAGAAAGCAGTAGAGGATGGCCCAAAGCCTTGGGACCCTGCACCCACGTGGGGGACCCAGAGGAAGCTCCAGACTCCTGGCTTCGGATCAGCTCAGCTCTGTCCATGGCAGCCACTTGGGGAGTAAACCCAGCGGATGGAAGATCTTTCTCTCTGTCTCTCCTTCCCTTTGTAAGTCTGTAAATAAATAAATAAATAAAAACTCTTACTCCCACTTTCCATGAAGTGCTAGAAGTCCTCCCTCTTGTTCATGTGGTTTATTGCACATCTCTGTATATACTGGAGGTATTTTGACCTGAGATGATCATCTTATCTAAGATCACAGAAGCTGTTATTGCACCTCTTATTTTAAAAGAGCTGAGAATGCTCTAGTATTGATTGATGATGGGCAGCACTTTGAATGCAGCATGGCCCCTCCACACAAATGCAGATCTGTGATTCTATCATCTTGTCTCCCTCCCTGGCACCATCATCTACTCCAGTGCACCTCTCTGTAGCCATGGAGCTCAGAACCAAATGTCTAGTGTGCTGAAAGTAGACAGTCAAGAAGATTGACTAGGTATTCCTATTCCCCAATGAATAATCCTACAACAAAACAAAGCTATATAATGTGTCAGTCAGAAGTAACCTCAGGAACCACTGTACCTAATTCCTTCACTCGCAAGAAGTAAAATGGATTTTTGAAAGAGTTATTTTATTGATTTACAGAGAAGGAGAGAGAGAGATCTTCCACCCACTCTTTCACTCCCCAAGTGGCCGCAATGGCCAGAGCTGAGCAAATCCAAAGCCAGGAGTCAGGGGCTTGCCCTGAATTTCACACAGGGGTACAAGGCTTTGGGCCATCCTTGACTACTTTTCCAGGAAACAAGTAGGGAGCTGGAAGGGAAGTGGGGCAGCTAGGATACAAACTGGTGACATATGAGATCCTGGCACATGCAAGGCGAGGACTTTAGCCCCCAGGCTACTGCACAGGGCCAATAAAATGACTTTTTATAAAAGCTGGATTTATTTGTTTGAAAAGCAGAATTACAAAGAAGTGAGAAGAGACATACATAAGGAGAGAGAGGTATTCCACTGGCTGATCCACCTCCCAAATGGCCACAATGGCCCAGGACAAAGCCACTATCCAGGAGCTTCTTCAGGCTCCCACATTGCTGCAGGGCCCTAAGATCTTGGACCATCTTTTGCTGCTGTCCCAGGCGCATTGACCTGGAGCTGGAATTGAAGAGGGGCAGCTATGGATCGAACTGGCTCTTTGGGATGTTGGTATAATAAACCAACACTTTGGGATGTTTGTATAATGGGTGATAGCCTATACTGCCATGCTGAATGATGTGAATATGATGTTAATAGCTGAAGAATTTCAGAGACAATCTCAACATGCTTATCTATCTTGCGGCTTCATTTGAGAATTTTCACACAACTCAGTAACATACCTAATTGAGGGGCTTATATTTAACCTGTTAAGGTGCCCACATTTCAAATCAGAGTATTGATTATATTCCCAAGTCCAATCTCTCTTCTCAAGTAACTTTTTCTAATTGTGTAAGTGATATGGATAAGAACCAATAAAACATCCAAATTTTATATGTAGCTCTGAAAATGAGCAGCCATCTCCCTCCTCATGAGTTGTGACAATGACATCCAGCACAATGATTTGCTGAGGAGACCTCTTGGCAAGCTCTTCTATTGGCTCACGTAACTGGCTGCGTGTCTTCCAAAAGGCAAATCCACATGGGCAAGAGAAGGTGACGCCAGGCATGGTGAAAGTGACAGGGTTTTCACCTCTGTGTTAACAAATGTGGACACAGAAGTCCTCTGATAGAAGTGGCTCTTATCTGGGAGTGTAGTCATTACTTCATCCAAAGGACAATTAAATGAAAAGTGAATCCTCTCCCAGAAGCTGGCCCAGTGTCCTCTCTTGGGGGATTAACTCTGCTCCACCCCAGGACACTAACACAAATATTATTTTCATTTGTTTGCTTCTGTTCCCTCTGGCTTTTATCCTGTGCTGACTTTCCCAATTATTTTCATGATCAGGTTGGCTGTGAGGCCAGGGGAGAGTGACTAGCTTTACTTCTGGACCATTGTCCTTTACTGTTTCACAGCCACAAACAAACAAACAACCCTTTTAATTGACCCCAACATGAAATCCCTACTGTACTGCATGTAAAAGCAGAATTGCTCTTTCTGAAACCATGCCAGAAGATTAAGATCATTTTGCATGAGATTTCATCAGGACCTCCAAGGGCCGTTATGTGTGCGTAGTGACATTAGAGAACTCTGAACTTGCTCTAGTGTTCTAAATGAGATCCGAGCACTCTGAGTGGTTCTCTCTAACCTACTCCGCTAGCCTAGACGGACAACCTGTAGAAATGAAGACCCTGCATGTGGCCTCTCTGCTGAGTGACTTTGCAGGGAGCTTGAGGACACAGAATTTCTGAATCCTTATTCTGCCTGCTAATCACCTACTCTTTGATTGATACCAGGAATGGGAAGGGAAGGGAAAGGAAGAAAAGATAAGGGGAGGCGAGAGGAGGGGAGAGAAGGGACTTGACTACAGGTCTCACCTGTGCAAATCACAGTACCTGACTTCCTACATGGTAATAGCACACAATCCCAAGCAGCTTTTTGGGATCAAACTGCAAACTTCATAGTTGAGCAAATTAAGTCTCGGGAGTGTCAAGTGGCCCATCTAAGGCCACGTTCTGAGTAACCAGACTGCCGCAGGGTCTGCAGAACGCCTGATCTCAGAGCCCATGCTCACACTTCAACCGAAGATCCTCAAGTCAGAATGGAAAAGCATTCAGAAGTAGGATTCCAGACATGTTCAGAGAAAGCATAACTAGCTTGGTTCCCGTTAGACGAGGCCTATATTAATAGTTTATTGGTGTGTGTTTGTGAGTGAGAGATAGAGAGAGAAATATCTCTCTGAGAACATATATCAACTTGGCTTTCTCCCCATGCACATTTCTCATCATTTCCCCTCACATCCCTGTAACTTCAACACATTTTCTCACTTTTGAATGTTCCTTGAGAGAAAAAGAAATTAAACACATTTTAAAGAAGATATTTGACATTTATCTAAAAGTGAAAATTGGGGAAATGTCTATAGTTATTCTTGGGCATGCTAATCATTCTAGCGAAGTAATTATTTCTATTCATATTGAACAAGTGCTATATGATGAGAATCTGAAAAGTCGCTTCCCCAGAATTAGTTGGAAATTCAAATAGCAAGACTTGATTAGGCTACAGAGGAGCTACACTGTCACAGGAACAAAAATCATTTTTGTGAAGTTGAAGTATTCTCTTCCCAAACTACATAACGTGGATTTGTACCTCCCTGTCCACCCAACGCCTCCCTCCTGAAGGCATTTTGAT